TGCCTGGGGGGTCCCCTTTCACTGACCGTAAAGTGGCACATCTGTATGATGTATAGAACCTGCTGAAGCAAAAATGACATTTATATACATTTTATTGATATTTATATAGAACTCTAATATATACAGAAGTCTGATTTTTATATATATGTGAAACATTGCTTCCGTTCCCTTATTTCGATAGTTAAAAGAAAAGTTAAAAGAGAGAGGAAAATGGCGAGGATTGTAGCCTGGATGACTAAATATCCCACAATCATACAATCTTTTTTAGTTTCAGTCTAACACAACTAAAAGGTTCAACATTTTATATCTCACTGGAATGTACAGTGTAAAATCAGACTTCTGTATATATTAGAGTTCTATATAAATATCAATAAAATGTATATAAATGTAATTATTGCTTCAGAAAAGTGCAGACAAGGGACACCTGACAGTGAGTTTATAATGCTTTCCAGCAAACACTGCAGCTGAAAGGTCACTCATTTTATCTTAAATAAAATATATAATAATTTTCTATATATTGTAATCTGTGTATATATTTTATAGTAAATAATGAATATTGCACATTAATATTATGTAGTCTTGTTTTCTGACAGAAGGTGGAGGTTCCGTTTTACACATTTTCTGGTTTATCCTTACTTTCTGCTAAAAAAGTTTAGCTAAAAGAGTTTAATAGCTCAAGCTAAAATGTACACATACAAATTATTAAGTAAGAGTTTAATCTAATCCCTCCCACTTCTCTCCCACTAAACAGCACCATCTGAGGTTACAGTAAGAAACATTGGGGTCTATTCAGGAAGCTGCCGAAGGATCAGGCCGTAGCTTCGGCCGATCCTTTCGGCTAGCTTCGGCCCCAGGACCCCTTCGGTTCAGTAGAACCGAAGGGGTGCTCTACGGGCTATTCACAATAGCCCGTACAGCTCCCGATCGTGGCCGAGCGGCTCAGCCGAATGCATATGCATCGGTTCAGGTGAGCCGTGCTGAAAGCCGAACGGCTGATTTCAACCGATGTACGGCTGAAATCAGCCTTACCAGCCTGTAGTGAATAGCCGAACAGTGTTCGGCTCACTTCACTTCAGATCGGTCATTCACTCAGCTGCCCTCGGCAGCTTAGTGAATAGACCCCATTGTTTCCTGCTCTGTCTGTGGTTATTGGGCTCTGCACTATTGGCAGCTTCGGCAGCTATCGGCAGCTTCGTGAATATACCCCATTGTCAGGCCCAGATTTCCCACAAGGCCACCGAGGCACAGCCTCGGGGCGGCAGAGCGCAGAGGGCGGCAGCGGTGACCTTGTAAGTAAATCCGGCCCTGCCCATTGTGCTTGAAATGAACCATACTTCCCCTTTAAATAATCCCACAGTGCTCTGTGAATCCTTTGTCATATATTAAATGTTTATTTGCAAAACAAGGATAGTATATGTGGTAACAAAAAATATTTAAAACATAGTTTGTAACCTTGGAGCTATTGTAGTTTCTCTTTAATCTCCCTTTTATAGCTCTTTGTAATCTGATATGTTGAGCAGTGATACTCTACTCCCTGTATGCGTCTTAAAGTTTAATTTGCAATTTTTTAATATAGTATACCTAACTGACTTCAACATCATTTAAGAATACCAGTAAGAGAGCCTGGAACACATTTACTATCCATTCTGCCGCTTTATACTTTAAAATAAAATCACAATTGTTTAGCAACAGCAGTAGAAAATTTGGGGGTATGTTTGCATTCGGTTAATAGACCCTCACGCTTATAATTTTTAATTCCTAGAGTGAATGTTTATAAATTAAGTAATAATCCAATGAGTAATTAAATATCATTATTGAAAAGGAAGATTTTTCAGAATAGCAAATTGCGGTTAAAAATTGCAACATTTTATTAAAATATTTAATATGCCTTCTAGTTAGTGCTTTGTATTATTGGTGTCATATGTGGTACTTCTTTATATTTTGTGCAGTATAATTACCAACTTACTGATTCAACACATAGGACCATTGTGCAGTAACTCATGTTTAATTGAATAAAGTGGTCTAAATGTTAGATAAATGACCTTACAGGTAACACAGACACTCAAAGGACCTCTGTAATAGGATTGTAATAGGATATTGCCTGAAAATTTTTAACTTGAGCAGAAGCACCTTATGGTAGAGGCTTGAGATGTCATTTGAGTCTGCTGTGCCCCATAGACAGACAAACTACTATCTGATCCTGCTTAAAATTAACATATTTTAAAGCAAGCATCTAATGTCTACCAGCTGAAACAGTATGATTTGTGGATTGCCATAGTTCAGCAAAGGCCACCTGCTGCTTTAAAAGAACCTGTTATAAAATAAACTTGGAGGCTGCCATTGCTGAGCTCTACTTCTAAAAATGCTAGTTACATTGACCCTCTTCCTTCAATATTAAACCTTCCCATCTAGTTTTTTTGTCCCCTATGTTCTCATTTCGTTTGTCTTTTCTTCTTGTTTCATTTTCTCTTCTGTTCCTGGATTTGAATCACCCAAATGCCACTTGACTCTTAAATGGGTAATAACATTTATTTACAAGGAGCTGGAAAGCAGGAGGTCTTTGGAAGAGCAGAGGGGAAGGTTAGGGTGATACTTTGAGACAAGGTATTAGATATAGCCGGGGGCAGAGTTGTGGATGGCTTTGTAGTGGTTTTTAATATTTCTAATTTTATCCTCTGGTCTATTGAAAGCCAGTGGAGGGATTGGCAGAGGGGGTTTGCAGACACTGAGCGGTTGATTAGGTGAATGAGTCTAGGAGCAGCATTCATGATAGATTGAAGGGGGGATAACCTGTGTAAATGTAGGCCAATGAGCAGGGAGTTGAGTGAATTAGTAATTTTGCGGTTTCATTGCGGAGGAAGTGGCATATTTCGGAGATGTTATGAAGGTGAAGGCGGCAGGATTTGGATAGTGATTGGATGTGGGGAAGAAAGGTGAGGTCCAAGTCAGGGATGTGACCTAGGACCTTGGCATGGGGGGATAGTGATTGGATGTGGGGTCAGGGATGTCACCTAGGACCTTGGCAAGGGGGGATAGTGATTGGATGTGGGGAAGAAAGGTGAGGTCCAAGTCAGGGATGTCACCCAGGACCTTGGCATGAGGGTTGGATAGTTGTATTATCAATCTCAAGGGAAAAGTTGGGGGAAGGTGCACGGGCGGGAGGAAATATCATGAGCTCAGTTTTTGAAAGGCTGAGTTTTAAGAAGTGTTGTGACATCTAGACAGCCAAACAAGTAAAGTTTTTTGAGCAGGGGCAGGTGGTCAACAGTGTCAAAAGCAGCAGAAAGGTCTAATAGCAAGAGTAAGGAGTGGTGGCCATTGTTTTTAGCTGTTGGTAAGTCATTTGTGAGTTTTAGGAGGGCGGTTTCAGTGGAGTGTACGTGGCGAAAGCTGGACTTTAAGGGATCGAGAAGGTTGTTATCAGCGAGGTGGCGGCTCAGGCGGCTGTAGATAAGGTGTTCTAGGAGTTTGGAGGTGAATGGGAGTAAGGAGATTGGTCTTCATATTTGTAAACTTTTAACTGATAGAGTTGCAATCACCACCTTTCAACCAACATCAGGAATTCCAATTATTAAATTATCCAGCTTTCAGTATTATTTGCCGTTCCAAATGGTGAATTATTGATTTCATATATGCAGTGCACATTCCGGTGAGATATAAAATGTTGAACCTTTCAGTTGTGTTAGACTGAAACTAAAAAAGATTGTATGATTGTGGGATATTTAGTCATCCAGGCTACAATCCTCGCCATTTTCCTCTCTCTTTTAACTTTTCTTTTAACTATCGAAATAAGGGAACGGAAGCAATGTTTCACACCGGGGTGGCATAAGTTGATAGATGGTCGATGGTAGTAAATAAAGAGAAAAAAAGGTGTGTGGGCTGGGGGAAGGAGACATAGTATAGAGGGATAATAGAAGAAGAGGGAATGCTGTTCATCAGGAGTCTTTCCAAAGGACTCAATATCCCTCGACATATACACATAGGTTCTTTTGCATTCAGGTGATCCAAAATTTTTTATTTATCCCTTCAAAGATGAGGTCAAGTCCTCCATTGTCTTTATATCATTAGCATGCACTTTCTTTTTGATTAGTCAGTATTCCCATCATAGTGACAGATCAGTAGTAAAGTGGAGGAGAATGTGTAAAACTGTCTAGAGTACCAGGAAGTTTTAACATTTACATATTGCGGTGCCCTGGGATTTGGGGAGCCCAGGGCATTGGAGAGGACACCTAAAAATATGCAAGCTCTGCTATTTGTAGCACTTTAGCCTGCTCAGTACCATTAGGGTACTGACAAATTTTCTTCAAATATGGCAAAAATGGAATGGGCATTGTAACCATAAACTGTGCCTTGAAAAATATGTCAGCTGTTTTCAATGTTTTTTTTTTCATTAATGCGGTATTTACTTGTGAAATACAATATGATGAAGACAGGATATAAGGTACTTTCATGCCACAGAACTACATGTGACTATTTAGTGCATGTTTTTTTTTGCTCGTCTGTTCTTAATTTCAAAGTGCAATAGCTGCTAACAACCAATCCGCAATTGTTGTGGTAGCTCTAATCTAATGAAAGCCTAAATCTGATTGGTAACTATAGATTACTGCACTTTGCAGCTCTTTATACTGCCTTATCAAATAAGCCTGAAACTCTTCTTTTAAACTAGTTTTTTTCCCCTGCAATAGCCTTCAAAACAATTACTCATCACCCAATAGAATACTGATTATTCTCTGCCTCCACAGCCCATTATTTAAAAAAATGGGAAAGGGCTATTTTTAAGAGCACAGACGATCAAGACGACTCTTTTCAATGTGCACAGTTCAGGACTGATTTTGTGGAACCTTTCATAATCACATGCCTTTCGAAGGCTTGCGTGAATCTGATCACAGTAGCTGATTTCATGCATTGATAATGACGGCTTAGGTACCTTT